TACTGCGAGAATGAAGACCATTCTCAGCAACCAGACTGTCGACATTCCAGAAAATGTTGACATATCCCTGAAGGGTCGCACTGTTATTGTGAAGGGCCCCAGAGGCACCCTGCGGAGGGACTTCAGTCACATCAATGTCGAACTCAGTTTGCTTGGGAAGAAAAAGAAGAGGCTCCGGGTTGACAAATGGTGGGGAAATAGAAAGGAACTGGCTACTGTTCGCACTATCTGTAGTCATGTACAGAACATGATCAAGGGTGTTACACTGGGCTTCCGTTACAAGATGAGGTCTGTGTATGCTCACTTCCCTATCAACGTTGTTATTCAGGAGAATGGGTCTCTTGTTGAAATCCGAAATTTCTTGGGTGAAAAATACATTCGCAGGGTTCGGATGAGACAAGGTGTTGCTTGTTCAGTATCTCAAGCCCAGAAAGATGAGTTGATTCTTGAAGGAAACGACATTGAACTTGTATCAAATTCAGCTGCTTTGATTCAGCAAGCCACGACAGTTAAAAACAAGGATATCAGGAAATTTTTGGATGGTATCTATGTTTCTGAAAAGGGAACAGTTCAGCAAGCTGATGAGTAAGATTTAAGTTGTCCAGCTACAGAGCAGCAAGATAATGGATGATTTCTTAGACCTATTTGTGATACATCTTTAAGATGCAATAATAAAAGTCGTCATTGATTTGGGGCTTTTTTTTTTCCTTAAGCTGATTATCCTTTCAAACTTTTAAGCAAATAAACAGTTCAAGTCAGTTCTAGTGTGCTAAGAAAAGTAACAAGAAACAGTTTTACTGAAGGACTTTACAGAGAAAAGGCTTGAATCTGATTTCCAAAGGAATATCAAGGGTGTTACAGGCAAGAGGAATATAGTAACAGTGTCAGATGACTTGAAATTGTTAATTGGATACAGAAAATAAGAAATTTTGTAGTGATCTAAAATTGAATGTTGTGAGGCAAGTATATGTCATTCACTTGTCTATACCAGTAACTTTTTGTGAAAAGGCAACTGAGAAATAGAACAAAGAGGTTTTGTGTTAGTGTTAGGGGGAAAAGGCAGTCCCAAAGCTAATTCCATACAGGCTTTTTGGACTCCACCCCCACCCCAGTGTTAGGGGGAAAAGGCTGCCCCAAAGCAAATTCCATACAGGCTTTGTGGACTCCACCCCCACCCCAGGTCAAAGCCAAAGACACTGGGAACTCCAAATCCCATCACCACCAAAGGGAAGGTGGCTGGGACCTGAGGGTGGGGTTAAGCAGCCAGGTGGATACAAAAGGCAGACACGTGGGCTTTGGGGGCTCTCTCCATTTTGGGGCCCTCGGCCAGCTTGCGGCGTCCGTCTAGCTCTGAGAGTGACTTTGGGGTTTCCAGGTCGTCGGATCGGGTAGGACGCATTAAAGACTTTATTTCCCTATTTTCTCCCTGAGTTGTACATTTTCCTTATTTCCTTTCCTCTTGTAAATAAACCTTTTATTAACCCTTTTGTGTGTGTCTGTAGTAGAGTATTCATAAGTCCCTTTAAAGCGCGCGGGTGAGGACCCACAGCCAGGAACCCGTTTAATATCGGGGTTGCTCTATAACATTAGAATATTGAGTTTATGATAAACATGGTTTCAGGGCTCCAGGATCCTCTCAGTCTTAAATCTTTGATTTGCTGTAGGCATTTATTTCAGCATCCTAGTCCCTCATAATTTTAAATTAAGAAAAATAGATAACAATCACTTGGAACATGTATGCTTTAGTGAGATCTTAAGCCAAATAAATGGGGTTTTTCTATATTAAAAAAAAAAAAAAAAAAAAAAAGAAAATCAGGGACACAGGAAGAGCGTTGAGTGTGGAGTGGGGGAAGATGCTACTATGTTCCCAGTATAATAGTTGTGTGTGTGATCCACCCAGGTACACGGTAACTATGCCACCCCTCCCCCGTATACCCAGACTAGGTCGTTTGTGTGGCAGCCTTTGCCTTTGGTTTCAGAGGTGACAGACTGAATTTCACAGAGTACAGAATTCCAAGAGGAGCAGAGAGAAGGGGGATTATATACCCCTGCATTTCCTAGGTCAAATCCCCTGTTGAGATGCAAAGGTTGGCTATTATCCTCTGCCCTGTTGTTCTCTGGAGCCTAGTTGGTTGTCAGTTCCATCACATCTGCCCTCACTGCTTTGTCTGCAGATAGTCCCATCTCCTTTGTCCTGAATTCACCATCTCCCAGCCACCTTAAGATATACAGACACACAGGTCATCAGGGAGTCCTGGTATGATGAGCAGCAGAGTTATGTTTGCATGTAAATATTCTCTGATTGTAGTTTAAATGAGAGGAATGTAGCAGCTAATTATTCCACCATACTGATGACATTAACCCCAGAAATGAAATTTTAATAACAATATTATATGTACAGTGTGTATGTATTGTATGTGTGTGTATGTATTGTGTGTGTGTATGTATTGTGGATGTGTGTGTGTGTGTGTGATACTTCTGAAAAAATTCTGGGTCAACACCTGGAAGAATTTTGTCATTCTTTTTCTGGATTGATTGCAACTTTCCAACACCTCAACTTCAATACTGCAGAGAAGGGCTAAGGAAAACTAAAATCATTTAGAATTACAAACATAAAGTGTTCTGGGCCTCCCTGGTGGTTTAAGGGATTGAGCACAGCACTGTGAAGCTACCTGTAGCCTCTGCAGTGAGAGTTGGATCCCCTGCCGGCCAGGGAGCTACCCACATGGCACAGCAGACCTCTCCTGTCTCACCCACTGCTCCCCTCATCAGTGTATTTCAGTAGATCCTCCTGTTCTGCTCCCTACTCTCACTGGTGAATCCTCTTATCCCCCACACCTCTGGCCTGTACCCCAGTTATAATAAACTGTTCCACTTCTAGTAATGATGAGCTATTTTATTATAGATATAAGTTCTTGTAAAATGAATAAAAAAGCACACAGTTTATGTCAAAGCCTTGGGAAGCTGCTTGACACTGAGGACTTGAGGCACCTGGGGGGAAGCCACATATCCAGGATGGTTCCATGAATGATAATCAGCCACTCCCCCTTTTCATTTCTTGGAGCTAGGTAATCCTCAGAATCTTTATATTCTGGAAGAATTTAGGTAGACTGGAGAGTCCTAAGAATGACTTACAGGGATTTTTTTAAAGCCAGCATTAATGAAAAAAATAATAATTCGATAAGGTGAAAAAAATGAGATGCCACAGATCTTGAAAACTTCGATCTATAGACTGAGAATCCCCGAAACACATCTGGGTTGATCAAAAGTCCAAGTTTAAGGCATGGAAAGAAGTGAAAGGAAGGGGCAGTGTTGCTAATGGTCAAGATCACATTGTGACTGGGGGGTTTATGTTGGAGATGGGCAAGGAATTGGAATTCTTTTACTCACCACACAGATGGTGAGAGTATTTTTTCCCCCTTTAAACATCAAGTGACTTAGTACTGTGGTTCATGTTTCTTAATCATCAAGGTGAACTGGAAACACATGGTGAGGTTTTATAGACACTTCTTCCCCCCTTACAGCTTGTTGGGGAACCAAACCTGAGGTGAAACGTCTGGGGTTTAAATTTCATTTTCATTGTCTATTTTATCATGAGCTGTAACTATCCTATCATTTAGAAGGACTGTTGTGTTCAGTCTTTCTATCTATAGAAGTTTTGTTTTAATCCAGTTTAGCTCACTTGAAAAAGTGTAGATGGTGACAATGCTAATAAAGAGAAGGGTTTACCTTCCACGGTTTGTTTGTTAGGAAGTGTCCTCAAGCTCTAGAATACTGGCAAGGAATTCATGAAGCCTGCCTTGGATGTTTTATTACTTCAAGCTCCCATTATCTAACCAGAGAGATTATAAGATATGCTCTTTCCAGGATTGCTCTTGATCCAAGTAGATTCAAGCATCTTTCATTTCTCATTCACATTCCTGGACATTACTCATGGGTCTTTATGTAATAATTTACTCTTTCTCCAAGTCTTTTCTGTTACATCAGAATTTTGTTTATTCCTTGGATTTAACCTTACAGAATATCCAAAGCAAAGGTGGGCTAGGAAGCACTAATTGAGGCCCACACATAGATATCTTTTAGGGTATATTAAATTTTCATTTTGCATGTCAGAATGAATATGAATCAGAGAGGGATTTTTATGTCAGGAATAAACAAACAGTCTGAATATTTTTGGTGAAGTTCTCATGAATAATGTCTCTTTTGCAATTTCCTCCCTTATCTTTTGCAATTTTTTTAAGTCTTTAGAAATTTTAGTCCCAAATGGACTTCTTCTTTTTAGGTGCACATTATTTTGAAAGTCTCTTTGCCTCTTCAGAGTGTTCAGCAGCGAGTTTCTGAGCTCTAGCCTTGAAAACACTTCAGGGTAGGGATACAAGAAACCTCTGGAAACCTTGTGAACAGAAGGAGCCCACATCATGGTGCCAGAAGGGCAATCCCAAGGTGAAGGTGCGCATTCCTTTACTCAGTTCCAGATAAAAGGGGGTAAAAGTGTGTAATAGATGATGAGTTGTCCGGGGAGAAGAGGCAGACAATGGGCACATTGAAGGGATGTCCTCTGTAGTAGGGTCATGAGAAGTTGAATGAAAGAATAAATCCTTCATGTAGAAACACTGGAGAGAGTAAGAAATCAACTATCCATGTGGGGGTAAGAAAGGTGGGTGCCAGGAGTAATGTTTTCATAAAGATGGGGAAAGCGTGGAGAATGTAATATTTAAGAAGAAAGAAGGAAATGAAAAGTACAGTCGGTTGTGGGTGAGTTTTGCCAGATAGTTTCGGATCTCAGAGATACTACCTGTTCACTGATTGTGAGGCAGTGTCTAACCTTCTTCTAGTATTAAGTTTAATACTCGGAGTCTTCATTTGTTTTTTTCATTGCTCCAAACTGCTTCGGAGGTAGGTATTCTTGGTCCCCGCATAACTGCATTTGTCTTCTTGGTCTGACAGAGAAAACCCTGTGGAGGTTCCAGGTGAGGCTGTGGGCTGGTGCTGGGGTTGGCATGGCGCTTCTCAGCGCTTGTTTCATTGGGAGCTGCCTGGGTAAGTGCTTCACCGAGAGGCCGCTTCCTGTGATCTCTTTCCCTGTGGTGTTCTACAGAGATTCCCAAGGGCATGTTCTCCTTCCTCTCCTCACATGTGAGCTCTTGCTTGGAATACATGCCTTCCCCGATTTATCTATGTCTTCCTCCTCTCTTTTCTCCATTACCTCCATTTTTAATAACTGACTTAACTTCCACCTAGTCAATCTGGTTTCTGTAGCATTTTCTCAGTCGTGATCTCACCAAGACACCATCCTCACTACATGGTCAGGAGTGACCTGTCCTCTCGGACCAAGCCCTCCACTGAGAATGTGGCCATAGTCAGAGTCCTTACAAGTGAGGCCTTTGATTTTCCCGTGAGCAGTAGGATCAGAACTCACCCCAATATTGACTGAGAGGTTTTTGCTATTAATCATACCATTTCCTATGAGATGGAAAAGTATTCGAATCAAATATTGGAGCTTTTTAGGAATGAAATATTCCTTCCCTGTTCAATTTGCCTCCATATAAATATTTCAAATTCATTTTGTGAGACGTCTCACAGAAACTTTTGCTCTGTAATCTACAATTTGGTTCTCTATTCAATAATAAGTTTATTCAAATATTTTTTAATAGTCTGGCAGGGGTGAGCTGTGATTTTTTTATGTCAAATGGGTCATGTTTGAACGTTCCTCTGAGATGGAACTAAATTTCACAGTTTTAGTAAAGCATATGTCATTACCATCAACATTATATTCTGCTTTACTTTTCATGGTCAAGAGAAAGAGAGAAAGGGTCTTGAAGAACAGCTGTGTCATTAATCAAGGGGCTGTAGAGAGTCTGGATCCAAGACGTCTGTAAAGAAAAAGGAGGAAATGTTGGACATATTGAAGTTGGTAGTAGGAATACAAGGAAGAAATGAGACCTGACAGAGAACAGGTCTTGCTTACTGTGGACACCTTATAAAATAATATTTAATGTCCTCTGAGACATTTACTGTGTTTTTAATGTTAAAGACCCCCCATGGTTGTTAATTGCCCTTGTGTTCTCCAGAAATTTTAGAAAATTTCCAAGTAACCTGAAAACTTGCTTCAGGATATAAAATCATGGAGAAGCGGGCAGCTAGTGAGTCAAAAATTCTCCTTGATGACTTCATCATCATCACTATGTGTTTAATTCAATTAGTTTAAGTGACTGATTCAGGTAGGAAACAGAATCTCTGCCCTACAACAGAGGGATTAAATTCCACTGGGGGGAAGAACCAAACATTAAAGTGCAGGCATCGACACAAACATGATAAGTGAATACAAGCAAGCAGTAATTCCAGGCAGTCTTCCTGTGTTTTCGTACAGAGAGCACTGACAGTGGAGAGAGCTAGCTTGGCACAGATTATAGAGCAAGGGGATTTTAGCACAAGAATGGATGGACAGTGACCCTTCTTCCTTGCAGGGACTTATCGTTTAACTCATGCCAGACTGTCTGAGATATGCACATCTTCAAATGTAACCATCAATGAGGGGACACGAGTGACAGGTAAGGTCATCCATAGTTTCACCAGCTCTCTCTTCTCAGAGACTCAGGATTGAACTCAAGATTGGTTCATCCTGTTTTTTTTTTTTAAACATTGCTTTTTTTTTTTTGGTAAGATTTATTTATTTATTTATTTATACAAGCACTGGGTACAGTCAGAAGCGCGGGAGGGTGAGAGAATTCACCAGAGCCAGAGCAGGGTGCAGAGCAGGCAGAAGGACTGAAGTACACTGCTGAGGGGAGCAGCGGGCAGCAGGAGAGGTCTGAGCGCCATGTAGGACACACCTCTGGTGGCCGGGGAGCAGCCGGGGATCGAACCGGCGCTGCAGAGGCTGTGGGCAGCTTTGCAACCTAGAGCTCAATCGCTGCGCCACCGGGGAGGCCCTGTGGGTTTTTTTTTTTTTTTTTAATTGACATACATGCTTGGTTATCTTGAAGATGTCACAAACTTAAGTGTTTATATCAGGCTCTAAATTTGGACTCACAACAATTCTTCCAGATCCTTGATTTCAGTAAGCACTATCACAGAATTTGCTCAAGCCAACTCTGAAAATTTTTCATAACAGTGTTTATTTAACATTATCTTCACCTTTATCAAATATATCACTATCTCTCCTTGATTTCAAAAGTTCTCCTTCGAATATTCACCTTCACCCCAAGTATTAGCTTTATTACAGGTCAGTTTGGATCTTGGAACATGACTCAGGTTCACACTCTAAAATACAGTCACAGCCTATGGGAGACTGAGGAGAGCAGAGCTCAGAATCAGGGTCAGCCTCACATATGTCTAGTGAAAAAATTCATATGGGGCCAAGTGCAGGCTGTCGTGGGCTTGTTTTTTCCAAGAGACGAAGTCCAAACAGATGGCTGAAACCACCTGATAATTGTCCTTCACTTTATGGCCGTTTCACCAGTGCAACCACCTCAAGTTCTATCCATATTGTAGCAGAAGACATAATGTCAACTTTTTAACTGGCTGAGTAGTATTCCTTTCCAATGCAGGGTATGTCCATTTTTATCTTTATTTGCTAAAATTTTGTTTTTCTTTGCCAAAGCTTTGTATGTTTTCATTTGGTTCATAGATGTTTGTATTTCCTTCTTGAAGCATTGTTTCATGTTTTCTTTAAAATTTTGTCAGATAATGCTAATTTCTTTGTTACTTGTGAAGGGCACAAGTTTACTTTCTTTTTAAAAAATTAATTTTGGTAACATTGTTCTCTTAGCATGAGGATTGATTTTCTATTGAAAGTAGACATTTTTGTGTCCAGTTTCACAAAATGTCTGGATCCTTTTAAACATTCAGTTCTTTTTTTCCTTAAGATTTACTTATTTATGCATATAAGAGCTGGGGTATAGGCCAAGGTGTGGGGGTGGGGTTTATGAGTGGATTCACCAGAGATAGAGTGGGGAGCAGAATAGGCAGATCTACTGAAATACACTGCTGAGGGGAGCAGCAAGTGAGACAGGAGACATCTGCACCATGTGGGTCACCTCCATGGTCAGGGAATCGAACTCGTGCTGTGGGAACTGGAGAAAGCTTGATAGTGCTGTCTTTAACTCCTGAGCCACCAGGGAGGACTCTTAAACCTTCAGTTCTAACCAGCTTTTATTGATGCTGCTCTGTCAACTATAGGGCCCTGCCTTGTAACTGCCTGATGTAGGTGGGCGCTTTGTCCTCTACCTGGTGGTGGGGACTCCTGTTACCCCTGCAGGAGTTGTGGATCCTAGTTTCATGAGGTCTCCCTTGGCACTTACTTTAAATAATGCACACAGTAAAATTTCTTTTCTCATGTTTCCCTGATATGGCCTCTGTCCATACAGGGAGTGTTGGGAATAGCAGTTGCTGCCCTAAGCACTGGAAGGCATTTGGTTCAAGCTGCTACTTCATTTCTGTTGAAGAGAAAACTTGGCCTGAGAGTGAGAAGAACTGCTCCGCGATGCAGGCTCACCTATTGGTGGTCACCACCGAGGAGGAGCAGGTGCTTTCTCTACAGAGTGGAGTCAGGGGTCCTGCAGGGTGTTTGTGGACTTCAGCTGGTTAAGGAGCAGGTTTTCAGTGTTTGGGATATTGGGGTACAGTGGGGGCTTTCCAAAAAAAAAGGTGGGAAAGGATAACTAATCTGTTTTCCTCCACACCTTCTGCTTCCATACAGTTAACCTCCCCCAGTAAGTTAGGGTGTTGGGGTTGAGTGACAAGATGAACTATTTCAGCCTGAAATGTCAGTTTATTATTTCAACATATAAATGTTTGCAAATTAACTTTTTAAGAGAAAAAAGTTATTAGTGAAATAAGGAAGATTCAGTCCTGAGGAATCACAGTTAAAAATCAAATGACATTAAAGAATCTGAAATTATGAAAGGAAAATGATTTAATCAACAAAATGTTTTACATGTATGAGCTTGAAGAGAGCCATTTCTTAGTGAAAAAAATGAGAGGAAGTGAGTGTGAGATGAGAATGCATTGTGAGTATGGAAGAAATCACTTTCATATAAATTGATAAATTGATCACAACTATATTCTGTGCATTTGTGTCCCTACTAATTTATCTGTAGAAATCCTAACCCCAAAATGTACTGCTATTAAGCGATGTTTGGTAATAATTGTGGGGCCTCATGAGTGGGAGGAGTGTGCTACAAGACAGACCCATGCAATTACCTGGTTCCTTCTACCTTAAGAGGACACAGAAGAAGTTGCCATCTGTGAGCCAGGAAGCAGGTGACCTTCACCTAGCCATGCTAGTACCCTGGGGCTTCTCATCTCAGGAGTATGAGAAATGAACTTCTCTATGAGCTACTGAAGCTGTTGTAGTAGCTTGAACTGATTAAGACCAACGTCATTCTCACAAGTGATGTCTTGGCCTGCACTGCTCAGCCAGAGAAGACCTAGACTCCTGGGCAGGGTCCCATGTGGCTCTTCCTGCATCCCCTCCTTTTCTTCTCTTCTCCCTGAGGCCACAAGCTCACTCCAGCCTGAGTCCTCTCAAGATAACAGCACCTTTTTTTTCTCCCTTCAGAATTTCATCATCCAGAACTTGGATACAAAATCTGAATATTACATTGGGCTATCTGACAGGGACAGGCCATTACACACAAATAAAAGACACTGGAAGTGGGTTGATCAGACACCATACAATGAAAGTGCCACGTGAGTATGGAATTAGATACGGGAATCCTGAGTCCTGGTCATGCAGGTGTTTTTAGGGTGCACAACACTCAGATTAAAATCAAATAGTTTACTCTTCTTTCATCTTTGGGTATAGGTTAAATAATAATTTTTATATTGCTGTAATTGTCACAAGAAGGACTCTGAGAAGAACATGTTATTATTTCTCCCCCTGTAGAACTTAGGAATGGGAGCTCAGAGAATGCAGAAACCTTAGTCAAAGTTTTCTAGCCAAAGCAACTAATGCAGGTCAAACTATATCAGTTTGACCACAGGATAATTGATACAGATAAGAGTGAGTTACCTCAATATTTCTGATCATGAAACATCATCGAATTTCAAAATAAAGACCCAGAACACTCCCAATATTACATCATTGTTTTTATTCATTCGTCCATTTATTTTTCATGCCACTTGTTCCAGTCCAGGATGCAGGTGACTGAGCCATTCCTGGCAGCTCAGAGCACAAGGAGGAAAACAACCCTGGGCAGGAGACCCTTCCACCTAGGAGTGTGTGCGCACACGTCCCATACCCTCCTCAGCCCCCACTCCCTCTACCCACTCCCTCAGATGGGACAACACCCTTGGGGGGTGAGAGTGTAACAGGGTGGTCCCTGTCCTATAACAAGAGGACACCAGAGCACCTCGTGCCAATCCACACAGATAGAAGGAAAACATGTAAACTCCACGTAGACCGTGGCTCAGTCAGGATTTCCCATGTTTCATTATCAATATTTTAATGAAATGATGGTTTGGAGGACAGGCTGTGCATTGATACTGGGGATCAGGAGGAAACCTTTTTTCATTAATGGCGTGTGGATTTTCCATGTCCCAGGAACAGGACATACAATGGACAGAGAGAAGGAGCCTCTGGAGCATGTAAGGGGAGGATGCGTAATGCAGTGAAATGACACAGTCCTGGGGGATGTGGGCTCAGTTTTCAAGGGCAATACCAGAGAGACACAGATGGAGGAAGCTGCATGGGGAGCAGGGAGGAAGGCTTTGGCATGTCTGACCACGACCTCCACGCAGCTCAGTGGCATCCTCTGCTTCACTGTTGGTTTTCAAGCACAGTGTGAAGAAACATACTGGTCCTTTTTATCTCTTTCAGGTTCTGGCTCTCAGGTGAACCCAATAGTCACAATGAGCGCTGTGTTTTGCTACATTTTCATTCATTAACAAAAAAATGGGGCTGGAATGATGTGTTTTGTGATGGACATTACAAGTCAATTTGCAAGATGACAAAGATCTACTTCTCAGCTGAAAAGTCTCTATCAGCATGTGCTTGAACTGGCACCCACTGCCCAGAGAGAGCTAATCTGTTATTGTTCATGTGTGTGTCTTCTAGAAGAGATTTCCATCAAATTTTTCTGTCACCTGTCGCTCTTGTGATAGATTCGGTGTGCACATTTGTCATTTATTCATAAAGTAGATGAATATCTATGAGAATTTTCCACGTGTGGAACCTAACTGGAGAGGACTTCTGTTTTTACTTTGAGATCTATCCCATATTATTAAATGATTCACAAATCAGATAGCATTTGTCTAGCAAGTAGCAAGGTGCTGTAAGCATGCACCAAAATGGAGGGTGTCTATAGACCAGAGAGGGTGGGACAGGTATGAGGAAGCGAAGATTATTTCAGGCAGCCGGGCGGGGTTGGGGTGGGGGTGGGGGTGTCTTATCTTACAGATGAATGAGTTTAAGATTACACTTTGGGAAAGGTTGAAACTGGAATTAGATTAAGTATTGAGTTGGGGCACCCCCTTGCTCCACTGTGACCATGAATGACTCCATTTTGGCTCCATTGTTTCTGTTTTTAAAATCCCGCAGTCTTGATTTGTCTCTCAGCCTCACTGAGGGTTTTGATCTAAATTTAAGGTATCAGCACCCCTCCTGGCTGCCAATTCTCACAGTTCTAACTGATCTCCCTTGTGGTGTTCATAGGTCATTTATATTACAATCCTAGCAGGGAGACAGAGGGGTGCCCCAGGACCCCCAAACTTGCACACTCATTCTGCTATCCACTGCATAAAGACAAAGCATACTCTTAGTGTGCAATTCTCTAATAGAATTGGTCTGCATAGAGAGAGAAGAAAGGACAATAGAATCCCCAAAACACCCAAATCCATCCCCTAAAGGTAAATGCCAAGGCAAACAGGGATGGCCCAAAGCAGGGCTGCTGAGGCCTGAAGCTTGCCACAAATCTAAGGCACATTCTGGGGTTGGGGAACATATGGGAAAAGAGGGCCAAGTGAGTCGGGGACACAGGAGCAAAATCAAAATACAAATCGAGGTAACACCTGGCATTGTCAGCCTCCCCATGGATCTTTCACCCACATGCACCTATCAAGTGTCTCTATGTATCTCTCCCCCATGTCCAAACATTCCAGATGCAAGTCCAAAGCTGTGACACAAGCCCCTCCTTCACATTTTCTGCTCCAGGATTTCCTGTGTGTTTCCTCCTGAGCCCTCTGCCCTCTGTGCCGTATAACTCTGCCCCTCAGTAGGTGAGGCAGGGAAACATAGAACCACCATTTTTGTGGAGATACTCCTGTTACATCAGCTTCTGGTTCACATTCTTTAAATTGGTTCTTCTTACTCCATCTCCCAGGTCTGGATTCAACTGGGCCTTCTGCTTGGGGGTCGGTGCTGCACACATGCAGTTATAGCTTTGGAGGGAATACAGTGTCCAGAGAGATTATATGCCATAAATAGGATAATTTTCAATGCTTTGAATAAGTTCAAAGCCAAGGTTCTGAGGACCCAGACCCATGAAGGAAGACCCTGCTAAAACAGTCACCTTCTCAGTGAAATGGCTTACTCAGTGATCTTATGGAACTGAGTTTCCATAACAAGTGTTAACCCAGGTAACCATGTGGTGTAGATTATAGCACAGACAACTCCTTGCTTAGCAAATAGAGTCAAGGTCTAGAAAAACCTTGATAAGAGAGTCTAGATATTTCTCTTGGGCAGCTATTGTTTTCACAGTAGATTCTGTAATGTCTTCAAGCAGAAGACTGCAAGCTAATGAGACCCTTCATGGGACCGATTACAGTTATGGAAGCCTGTGCAGATTAAGGGTCTATAACTTTCACAGGCAGTTTGGTTCTGGTTGCCTTTGCCTTTTCTTTGTGTAGAACTGAGAATGCAAGTTTTCTCCATTATGGTTTTCAGCCAGAGACAGGCAAATGGACTCCTGGGATTAGGAGTGTAACCTAATAGGTAGGGGTCCATATTTTTCCAGAGAACCGGAGTATTGGAAGAATTTGTGATAAGCAGAACTACAGAATGAACTTAGTGTCAAATCCAACAGTCTGGGAGGTTTCCCCCTTTGGAAGTGGCCTGAACAATATGGATGGGGCTTTATCATACCAGAGCTGTGCCCAAGTGAAGTAAAGAAAGAGGAAAAGAAAAGGAGTTTATGTACAAAGTCTTGATCTGGCATCTTGGGTGGACACTGTCTCCAAGATGTCAGTCTCTCCTCCTCTTGTCAACTTGGTTGACAAGGCTCCAGTGTGTGTGGATGTCACGTGGAGCCCTTGTTAGCTATAGGGTAGGAACCCTAGTTCAAGTCTCTGAAGCTTAGCTGCCATCTGGGTGGTAAGGGGCACCTGGTATCATCCCTTACAAGGAGATTCAAGGACAACCTCTGTTCTCAGTCATTGAAAATCCGGTGGAGCAATAAAACTGGAAATATTCATTTGGAGTTGTAGCCAGATATTTGAGGAACTAAAAGAATTCAGCATCCAGTTATGAGATTTTACCTGTAGTACTTATACAAAGAGAATAGAGTTTTCTTGCCATAATCAAAATAATACTCAACTAAGTTTCCAAAGTTCTGTAGGGATTAGGTAGAGAGAAAAAGAAAATATTTTGTTGATTTTTTCAGCCATATACTTTACTATTTGCTGTGAGTGATACATAGTTTAAGACAAAAGATCCTCTCAAGGTCAGAGCACTTTTATGATCTTAACACTATGATCTTAAAGTTATCACAGGTCTGTATTCTAGAGAACTTGTCAAAGTCCTGCCCATGATTGTCCTTGGAGATCAAGCACTCTAGCAGACTAGAACTAACTGTGCCCCTTAGAAATGGTGAGAAATCCAGAGAGCTCAACAAGGTTAGTGGGCGCCATACTGTGTCCTTGTCCCTGAATGCCACGGGGTATTTGCTCGGGTCCCATAACTGCCACCAAACTGTTAAAATCAAAATCCACAAATTTAGAGATGTAATGGATGTCATTAAGTTATTTATGAGTCAGGCTGCATCCTGGCTAGTAGGCAGGGAGACACAGTCCAGGGAGCCCTTCTGTTGACACCTGAGAGACCCCGATCCTCCTAAATTTTGTCTGATTGCCAGGTCAGGTAATGATGTAATTATATGATGTAATTCCTCCATCTGTCTGGATTTTCTCTTTGTGGGTTGATCAAAAGCAAAACAATCCCCACCACTACTTTTCATTTCTCTTAGAGTTTTATTCCTTGTAACTGAAAGCTTAGTAGGGTGTAACACATCTTCGTGGAAGAGAAGTTCAGTTTGGCCAATAAGTCTCTTAGGGCCTCTTAACATTTTCTCTTAGGTCTTGGCTTGTCATTTAACACCATTGCACTGGTAGAAGGAAATCAGGGGTGGAACTTTAGAGACTGAGAATTAAGAGAATTAGAAGCTGAAGTTAACACTGGTGAGTTGACATAGATTTCCTTTCCTCAGGTGTTCTAGTAATTTTTGTAGAATGTGGGTCTTAACAGGCTTTATTAGCTTTTAGGGAAGTGTTCTTAAGGTAAAAGCAAACGACTGCTACATGCAGAACTATTCCAAGAAAGTGTTTATTGTTGCCTTATTTGGCAGATATATTGACATCCATACATAAGACATACCTTAGAATTTTGGGCTGTATTCATCTTTTTTTTTTCATTAAGTTACAATGCTTTTTTTTTTTTTTTTTTGCTATTGAAAACAAACATAGACCTTAAGTCTACCAACACTGCAGTTAGTTTTGTTCAACCTGCCACTTAGTAAATGGAAGAGGAGCAGAAGCTCTGTGATTTGCCCAGTGCTGAGGAAAATGCTTCTTCCCAAGAGGAAATAAATAATCACTGGGGATGACTTGACCCCCACCCCTTAAGGGGAAGACAGTGGAGAAGGGGAAACTGCTGTTCCAAATCACCTTTCTCCCCAGACCTGGGGTGAGGTGAGGTTATAAGGCTTTGAGACTGGGGTGTTTCTATGTTCCCCATATTCTGGGTTGGGAGTAAGTCACACATGTGCTTTTCCCTTACACATCTGTACATAGGGCATGCATCTCATTTTCCTTAAGTCTCTGCCCCTGGGCATATAATGAAGCAATGGTAGAATTAGGTTACTCCTGTCACCTGTCTCTCACAGAATTTTAGGAACTCTGTGCCAGGAACCAAGGGTCACAGTAATGCTCTTAACTTTATTGAATTGTATTTCATTTTACAAAACATTCATAATTTGTTAGTCATTTTTCTTTTGGTAGGTAACTTTTAAGTTCTTTCTAGGGTTGACATATTATGAATAAAGTTGTTATAAATTTTGATACATCTTTTTGTGGACATGTGTTTTTATTTCTCTTGAATATATACCTAGACATGGAATATATATTTAGATTATCACAATTGTCTCCCTGTCCTAAAAATGCTCAGTGTTCCAAATATTCATCTCTTTCACCTGCATTTGACACCTGGCCACCTCTGATCTTTTAAATTTCTGTAGTTTGGCCTTTTGCAGAGTGTCACAGCTTTGGAATCATAAAGTGTATGTCTTTTTCAGACTGATTTATTTCACCTAGTAGTATGCATTTAAGATTCTGCCACGTCTTTTTGTGTCTTGATAGCTCATTTCTTTTTATCAAAGAAAAATATTCTATTGTATGGATATACCACAATTTGTTTATTTGCTGAAGGACATCTTGGTTGCTTCCAATTTTTGACAATTGTAAATTAAATGGCTATAAGCATTAATTTTGTGGGTTGATTTCATTTCCCTATCCCGTTCATAGGTTTGTCTGGGTGACTTGCGCTGGTCATTGGGATCAGCGCAGATCCAGTATACACATTATCCGAATGCACTATCTGAAATACGACATGTCTCAGCTTACAAGGAGTTGCTCTATGATTGTAGGCTCCAGAATGAAAAAGTGCTCAGAGAAAAGCCAGAGTTACAATCAGCCTGAAGCAGATACTAAGCCCACATGTAATGTGAATGAAAAAAAATGTTGTAAACACAAAAAATTTAGAATGATTAGTACAGTGTAATCCAGTTAGAAAATGACTTACTCTTGGGAAATAGATACTCTTACTCTTGAGAAATAGATTAAGGTAGGTATTTTGCTTCTCCTTATGAGCCTAGGTTGCTAAGACCATTAGTTCTAGTTGTTATTTGATTGAAATTTGTAAGGATTAGCTCTTCTTCCTTTCCCCTCTTTTTTGGTGTATCCCTTTTCCTTTATTTACTAAATAAAGTATTAAGTGGCACAGGGCAAGGTAGATATCTGTCATAGGGTGGTGTGGGATAAAAACAGTGCTCTGGTGCAGGTTTTCAGATCTCAGATTGGGTAAGAGGGTGATGATGCAGTTGGCTGGCAAGGTAATGGTGTTGGAGTCCAGGAAGAATGAAGAGAATGTGGCTTCAGGGGTGGAAAAATGTTCTGACACAGGAACCAGAGCCTGAGGATGCTTAGGAGTGTGTCCGTACTTGACAATGACCTGGTGTAGGGTATAAGAAATAATCCGGTATGAGGTGCTGGTGCCTGACAGGTGAAGAGGGCATCAGTGTATAGTGTGGTCATGTGGCAGGGGCACAAGCAGGGTGAAGATGGGGTCCTTGCTGGCAAGTGGAAGACCTAGCAAGGGATGGCAGGGCCCAAGCAGGGTGAGGGAAGTTGTCTATGTGGAGAGTAGATCTGGTCTGGGTTCAGAGGTAGAGCAGGATAAGGAGATGGTCCAAGTGGTGGGGTTGCCCCATGTGGGGCATCGGACTCCAGGCAGGATGAAGTAGGCCATCTGCACTTAGGCTGACCTTGCAGAGGGTATTGGAGGCTAAATGGATTAAAGATGGACTTCACATAGGGGCTGGGGAGCAAGCCTCAGAAATCAGAATGCAGGCAGAGTAAGTAGGGTTTTCCTATGGAGGGTCGAGTCACAGAAGACATCAGACCTGGACAAGGTGAAAGGACATTCATGGGTCTTGACTGACCCAAGCAGAATGAAGAGATGATCAACAATAGTGGGCATCTGGACAGAGGAGGCAGAGCCTATCAGGGTGAGAAGGGCATTACAGTCAGGGAGGGAGAAGCAGCAAAGGTAGAATACTGGTTAATTGCAGGGGATTGATCAAACAGGTAAATAAGTTCAAGGTTATAGAAACAACTTTCTTATTGTCACAGAGGGACTTAGGACATGGGGAGGGAGAAACTGGAATAAACTCTTTAGTGTTTGATTGGAATTAGAGATACTGGTGTAAGCTCATGGTTTTCAATATATTTAGGTTAGACATGAATATAGAGGTAAAGAGTGTGTGTGTGTGTGTGTGTGTGTGTGTGTGCGCGTGCATGTGCGGGGCGGTGGGGATGTTATGCAAGAGAGAAAAGAGATAAGTGGAGGAGATTAAAAAAGAGGACTGTTGAGGGGAGAGTGATATCTGGGGTATGAGCTGTGAGCATATTTGTGGGAAGATTCTGCAAGAAGGATGTAATTTTTGGAGCATTTTCCTCCTGGTCCTGAAAAAAAAAAAAAAAAGTCACGTTTAGTATCGTAGGGTAAGGTAAAAAAGTATCAGGCTTTTCTGCCCTCCCGCCATTAGGATTGATGATGGAAACCTGTGGTCCTGAATGCATGCCTGATGGCGGGCTCCTGGAGTAGGGTGTGGGCATGCATAATGGATACACCGGGGCTAAGACTGGGCTTATAAGGCTGGCGTCATGGGGACAACAGCAGAGCGAAAGGAGCAGAGAAGCAAAGGTCACGAGGGAACGGCAGAGAGCCCAGGAAGCGTGAAGACTTGCTGTGGGCTGGGTGGCCTGCCAGCCTCCTGGCTCCCTGGGACCACTACCTGCCTGTAAATCCCAATAAAGCCTGAAAAAGCCACTCAGGGCTGCAGGACACCTTCTTTACCCGGTCAGCCCAAATCTTAGAGATCCTGCACTGTGCCCTTCTCGCCACTGCAAGTATTCAGTTTATCGCCTTCTGAATTATGATTTTATTGTATAATCCTAACTGTTGAGGACTAAAGTTTATCTCTCTCTTGCCTTTTGGGCATGCAGGGGAGAGAGAAGGGTGAAATAAACATCAGTAGGGAGAGTGGCTTTCAGGAGTTGCTGGAAGTGATTGCGGCGAAATGAGTGAGGTTTCATGATGGAGTTCATTAAGATCCAGAGGGAGAGCAGAGAGCGCTGAAAAGCAGCTTGAGAAGACGTGGGATCTAAATTTTACTTCTCCACTGGGTTACAGGATGGTGACTCAGAAGTGGGAAGGCTGTCTGACATGTGAGTTCTTGTCAGAAATCCCTTTAGAACATGGTGCAAAAATTTACCTGATTCGCCACAAGTGAAAAGAATGTGACATGAGTGAGCACGTGCTGAGACTGATCCTCAAATAATTTTGCTTGCATGTGGATACACACAAATGCTTGAATTTAGTCTTGAATTAGTCTTGCTTTTGACTTCAACAACATTGTTCTATGGAAAGTTCTCTCTGGCTGCTTAATTCCTCCTTTTCTTTTCCTTCCTGTTTCCCCAGTCATTTGATTTCCTATTTTTCTCACATTTGCTAGAATCTGTTTAAAGCTTAATTCTTAAATGTGCTGGTGCTGGACCCTGGGCCACAGCTGAGGTTAATAAATCTCATGCGCTGTCTCTGGGGGTTCCTCGCTCATCTGGTGCCTCTAGATGTGTGATAGGAAGTATAAGTCACCACCGTATTTGGTCATTTTAAGGAAGAAACGAAAAGGATCTTTTGTAGAGAGCAGAAGTTTTCTTCTCAAAATGACCACAGAGATCACGTATGCTGAAGTAACCTTCAAAAATGAATCCAAGTCTTCAGGCACCAAATCAGAGGCACCTAGAGGTAAGAAAGATTTTCTGAGGGTCAGATTTAATGATGTGATGAAAGAGGAAGAGATAATATTGTGTACTAATCATGGGCGCTGCTAGCTTCTGGATCTCTGGTGGGCAACAGTTGGGAAATAGAGGATTCTCAAAAGGTTGAGTTGCCTGAAAATAAGCAGTAAAGGGTTGTACAGTTGTGCTAGAACAAAAGTGAGACAGGAGAAAATCACCACAGTCTTGAGCTGAGGAGCGTGCTGATGTGCTGAGAAGCTGTGGCCTCCATGCCTTCGGAGGCCGAGGGAGACTGCAGTCAAGAGCTTAGCTCAGGTCTTGAAACCATTGGCTCAGAGACAGGGGCCGTAAGTGAATAGTGGGCTTTGTTCCTTGATCAGCAGGAGGGGAACATTTTGTTTGTTTTTTTAATCAAATTTTATTGATTTGCCATTCATTTACATAATTATATAATTTCAGAAGTTTAACTGCATACTTCAGTATGTGCACATAATTTACTCACCTACTCCCAAATTTCAGTGCCAACCCACTATCACATTGCCCCTCTGATCCCTCTCCCTTTTCCCCTCTCTCTGGTAACCACCAGAATTTTTTTGTCTTGTTTTGCTAGTTTGTTTTCTTTGGTTAATGTAGGGTAAAGAAAATATCAGGCTTTTCTGCCCTTCCGCCATCAGGATAGATGATGGATCCTTGTCCTGAATGCATGCCTGATGGTGGGCACCTGGAATAGGGTGTGGGCATAGGTAGATGGGATTCAGCTGAGCTAAGACTGTGCTTTTAAGGGCGGCGTCACGGGGGGACGCCAGCAGCACCAGCACCAGCAGCAGCAGCCGCCGCAGCCGAAGCCGAAGCCGAGAAGCAGCAGAACGAACGCTAGAGAGCCCAGATAGAGTGAGGACTTGCTGGGGGCTGGGAGGCCTGCCAGCCTCCCAGCCCCCCAGCCAGCACCCCTGCCTGCCATATGCCTGGTGAACCCCAAATAAAAAACCTGCAAAACTACTGAGGACTCTGACTCCTCCTTTACCCGGTCTGCATGGGATCAGAAAACCTGCACTGTATCCAGTCCTGCCCCTTACAATTGGCGTATGTCGGCAAGATCCATGCAGACGGGTATTGGAGCCCTCCGAAGACCTGGAGGGACTAAGGAGAACAGACTTTGCCTGTGACGACGCTGGAGGCACCATGGCGGTATAGAAGATGGATACGTCCACGAGCTATAGGATGAGACCTGGTGTGAAGGAGACGCCCGAAAGGACCAGCCAACGACACCGGAAAGGACCAGCCAACGACACCGGATAGGACCAGCCAACGACACCGGAAAGGACCAGCCAATGACCCCTGAGGCAGCAGGCCATTGCTGAAGCAGGGAGAGGCCAATGGACTGATAGACTGATGAACTGATGATTTTGGACTGACAATCCCGCCAGAAGGCGGAGGACCTTAGCAGGTTATGTTTATTTTTTGAGAATCTGGGGGTGGCCAGTGGGCCTAGATGGCCAAAAGCAGCCTGTGTATGCCCAGTGGCCAGGTGGAGGAGAAAAGCCAACTAAGGTGGCAAAAGCTGGTACTGATGCTAAGTTGAGAAGCCCTAAAGCGGCTGTTAAGCAGCCTGGGTATGCTGAAGCCCTGTGAGTCTCGTAAAATCACCTATGGGTGATGCCCTGCTCATTCTTGAGTGAGGGTGAGGAGCTGAGGAGCCCGTCCTTGTGGGACGGGTGGGGAATGTGGCTTGGGGTGGAGCCCAAGCCAAATGCAAAGTTTGGATCCCCAACCCATGTGCTTGTGCAGTGGGTTGGCTTGAGAGCAGGGGTCTGTGAGTCGCATGGGTGGCCATGAAGGCCGAGTGTTGGAGCGACTGCAGACAGAAACCCTGAGGGTTGGCGATTACCCCCAACAGAATAAAATTGCCAATCCCAGAGCTAGTGCATCCTGGGGGTGGATGCTGTGTGTGACTTGTAGCTGAGACTACAGCCAGAGAAGGCCAGGAAGCCTGACGGCTCCTGGTGTGTTATAGCAGATGCCGTGTGTGATTTCCCCTCCCTCGTATGAGCAGTGCCTTCGGCAGCAGATTTGGTGGCTCATCTGCTGGTACCAATAATTGTCTTTTGCACTTGGTTGGTGCCCTGCCTGGACTTATTTGTGTTCTGTTGTATTTTGTTATGTTGTATTTTGTTATTTGATGTATTTGCTTTTGTGGGCCATGGCTGCATTGTTTGTTTGCTTAGAAAATTGTGTATATATGTATAGACTGTATGGCAGAAAACCCTGAGGGGGTGGACTGTAGGGTAAAGAAAATATCAGGCTTTTCTGCCCTTCCGCCATCAGGATAGATGATGGATCCTTGTCCTGAATGCATGCCTGATGGTGGGCACCTGGAATAGGGTGTGGGCATAGGTAGATGGGATTCAGCTGAGCTAAGACTGTGCTTTTAAGGGCGGCGTCACGGGGGGACGCCAGCAGCACCAGCACCAGCAGCAGCAGCCGCCGCAGCCGAAGCCGAAGCCGAGAAGCAGCAGAACGAACGCTAGAGAGCCCAGATAGAGTGAGGACTTGCTGGGGGCTGGGAGGCCTGCCAGCCTCCCAGCCCCCCAGCCAGCACCCCTGCCTGCCATATGCCTGGTGAACCCCAAATAAAAAACCTGCAAAACTACTGAGGACTCTGACTCCTCCTTTACCCGGTCTGCATGGGATCAGAAAACCTGCACTGTATCCAGTCCTGCCCCTTACAGTTAAACATTGGTAATTATCTTTCACTTTCTGTTTTTTTTCACTTAGCATAATCACATCATGTTCCACTTATGTTGTTGCAATGACACATTTTTAATAGCCAAGTAGTATTCCATTGTGTGTATATATACCACATCTTTTTGATCTAGGCATCTGTTTTGGGGTATTTGGGTTATTTCCACATCTTAGCTATTGCAAATAGTGTTGCAATAAACACAGAAGTGTGGTTTCCTTTTGAATTAATGTTTTTGTGACCTTGGGTAGATTCCAGGAGTGAAATGCTGGTTCATACCGTAGCTCCATTTTTAGTAGTTTGAGGGTCCTCCACACAGTTTTCCATAGTAGTTGGACAATTTTGTGTTCCCACCAGCAGTGTAAGAGAGTTCATTTTCTTCACATCCTCATCAGTATTTGTTGTTTCCAGTTTGTTTTTAATATGTGTCATTCTCACAGGTGTAAGGTGCTATTTCATTGTGGTTTTGATTTACATTTCCCTGATTGTAAGCTATTTGTACATTTTTTCATATATTTGTTGGCCATTTGCATTTGGAGGAGAACATTTTTGGTGGAGAGTGTTGGGGGATATATTTGTTAGTATTGTGCTGAAGTGGAACAAAAGACCATTGCAAATGAAACATTAGCAAGTCTTTCAAAGAAAATCCCTTATATCTCAAGAGAAAATGTTCTGTTGTCAGAAAATTCACTGTCTACTTATTTCTGAGATGGATTCAAGTTTGAGAGCAGATGAAAGATAATTTGGGTGGACATAAGATATTTCACATATGGAGCAAAAGAGAAAAAAAGGCTTTTAGAGCATAGGAACCTGTAAGAGGGGATCATGATCACTCAGAAACTTCTCTGGAAATAAACACTGTTTTTCTTTGTTATATGTTAAAATGTTCATTATGGAAAAAAAAGAATTAGAGGTATAAAAATTTATATTTATTCTTGCCATCTAGGGATACCTATAATTTATATTTTAGTATTTTTATGTCTTATACTTGTAGATATAAACATACATAGTGCATGTAAGTGCTATTTTCTAAAAATGAGATCATGGTATATATTACTGAGGGTTCCCACACACACTTGGCAATATATCATAACTTTGAGAAAATAATTCTTTCATTTACAAATAACATTAGTTTATAACATTATATGTTTCTGGTGCACAGTTTCATTAACTTGATAGCTACTATATCATAATCACCACAAAATGTCTAAATGTCTATTTTCCTTCTTCCATTATACGATTGATAACTTTTACCTGATTTACTCATACTGTCTTTCCTTTCTTCTTGGAACAGTGCTTTTATTCTTGTCTAAGAGAAACCATTCTTTTTTTTTTTTTTTAATAATAAATTTTATTTTTATATTCCCCATACAATTGCAGCCCCCCCATTCTGACCCCAATCCCTCCCCTCCCACCCCCGCCCCCCTAAAAGTGTCTCTGGTTCATAGTTTTTTGTTGATTTTGATTTTCACTTTCTTATAGTTATTCGTTTTCCTGGTCCCTTATTTAAGTTTTCTAGATTCCTGCTATGAGTGAGACCATCTGGTATTTTTCTTTTTCTTTTTGGCTTATTTCGCTGAGCATGATCCCTTCCAGTGCCATCCATGTTGCTGCAAATTGCATGTGTTTATCTTTTTTGAATGCTGAGTAATATTCCATGGTATATATGTACCACATCTTCTTGATCCAGTCATCTATTTTTGGGCATTTGGGTTGTTTCCAAAGCTTAGCTATTGTAAACAGTGCTGCTATAAACATAGGGGTGCAGGTGTTCTTTGGAATTGATGTTTCTGTGTCCTTTGGGTAAATACCTAGGAGTGGAATTGCTGGATCATATGGAAGCTCTATGTTTAGTAGGTCCAGAAATCTCCACACAGCTTTCCACAGTGGTTGGACCAGTTTGCACTCCCACCAACAGTGCAGAAGATTTCCTTTTTCTCCACACCCTCGCCAACATTTGTTGTTGCTAGTTTTTTTAATATGTGCCATTCTCACTGGTGTAAGATGGTATCTCATGGTAGTTTTGATTTGCATTTCCCTGATGACAAGTGATGTTGAACATTTTTTCATATGCCTGTTGGCCATTTGCATTTCCTCTTCAGAGAAGTTTCTTTTTAGCTCTTCTGCCCATTTTTTGACTGGATTCTTTTCTTTGTTGTTGTTAAGTCTCATCAGCTCTTTGCAGATTTTTGTGATCAGTCCTTTATCATTAGTGTTGGGTGCAAAAATGTTCTCCCAGTTGGTGGGGTTTCAAAGAGAAACCATTCTTAACCATGAAATGTCAGACCAAAAAATTCTGATCTTCTCCTATGTATTCGAGGGACCATAATACAGATTTACCTGAGATGGCATTATTAAAAGCACTAGTTAAAGCAGGAAAAAAAAATCTGTTATTAAATATATAATTAAATACTATACAACTGCAAGATAGAGGGTTAAAGAAGAAAATATGGTGGTACCGAAATTGTTCATGATAAAGTATATGACACAATAGAAGTTCAGAAATTAGTGCACATGGCAAGTCAAATATGTTGAAATTGTCCATGTATGATATAGACTTCAAAAATTACTGGAAGGATATATACCAATATATTAACAACAGGTATTCTCATTGTGGGTCTGTGCCTTTATATATTTTCTAAAGTTTCTACAATGAACATTATTGTTTCCTTTCCATTTTTTTATTTAAAATTTTATGTTGTTAGTAATAGTGTATCACTCAAGAAAAGAGAGAAGAGATTGAAGAAGAGAAAATTCAGAATTCATTACTGATGAAACTAATTTGATTTCTCCTTCAGCAACTCCCACAGAAAAGACCAGCCCTCACAAAAGTAACCCTGGTATTACCAAGCTACTTGTTGCCTCTTTGCTGATATTTATGCTATTGGCGATCTCATTTTTGGCCGCTTTTATCTGTAAGTATCCAGCTGAGTTTATTAAGGATGTCTATCCCATGTGAAGAGATGGCATCCATTAGAAAAACTTGCCAATAGTTTAATCCAATAATCTGAGAAAGGGGGTGGAGGGGTGGCAGAAAATTAGTGGAAATACTTTGAAAATTCTGTTCTTTGTCTGAATGAGTTACTCTTCTTAAAAAATAATGGAATCCAATCTTTAGAGAAATTGAAGAGTGTGTGCGTGTGCATGTTTTTGTGTTGTAGAGTGAAATCAATAGACCATAATTTCTGCAGTATTCTGCTGTGTGAGGTTAAATCTGCATTTCCTTGTAGTATTTATCAGACCATGTCTTAAAAAATATTTATTTATGCATACAAGAACTGGGGTTTAGACCAGAGGTGTGGGGTGACAGGTAAGAGGATTCGCCAGAGATAGAGTGGGGAGAACAGGCAGATCTACTGAAATACACTGCTGAGGGGAGCACTGGGTGAGACAGGAAAGGTCTGCTGTGCCATGTGGGTCAACTTGCTTGCTGGGGACTGAACTTGTGCTGCAGATATCCTCACAGTGCTGAGACTTAACTGCTCGTGCCACCAGGGAGGCCCAGGCCAGCTCTTTTTGAGTGTAGAGGCACTTAATTTTGGGATGAGCAGGTAGACAGGGAAGAAGGAGATGGGAAGAAATATTCCTGGGAAGTTTCCCATTGAATTTTCACTTTATTTCTATCCTTCCCAAAACTGTATAAGATCTAAAGGTCACTTTGAAAATAAGTAGATTTCTCCATATCTCTGTCTTTAAGGGTTTATCAGATTTTTAAGAGGTATGAAAACTTTTGCAGGTGTACATTTTGATAGATAATATATTTGGGTAGATATTTTATTCATTTGTCATTCAATAAGCAATGATGGCCATCTACTTTATGTTAGCATTGTGCCAGATACAATCCAGATGCAGCCATAGTCCTTGGTCTCAAGAAATTCAGAAAATGATGGTAAATGTCAAATGAACCAGTGGTGGTTACAAATTGTGTGGTAAGTGAAGCACAGGGACGGAAATAGACTTCCTGAAGGAGGTAACATTTACAGCAGTGTGTACCAAGAATGACAAAGAGATGTGAGAGACCATGGGGATATTGGGGGAAACTAAGTATAAATAACTGAAACTATGGTACTAAGTCAACTGTGAGACATGAAGTGTGAGAAATAATCAGGGCATAGGTCAGGAAGGCTGCTGAGTACAATGTAAAGTCTGCATTTTTTCCCCTGAGTGTTACTCTACTTATCTTTTGCTGCTTTTGAACCAGTCTGAAACTTAGTGGATTAAAGCAACTATTTATTTAGTTTATGACCCAGTGGTTTGGCACTGGGAGGGAAGTTTAGATTGGGCTCTGTGAAATCATTCAAGCATATGCAGTCAAGTACCAATCACAGCCAACTCAGTTTCTGAGGAAGAGGATGTCAGCTGGAATGACATGGGCAATTAGTCTCCTCCCTTCCTCCCTTCCTCCCTTCCTCCCTTCCTCCCTCCTCCTCCCCTCCCTCCTCCCTCCTCCCTCCTCCCTCCCTCCCTCCTCCCTCCCTCCCTCCTTCCTTCCTTCCTTCCTTTCCTTCCTTCCTTCCTTCCTTCCTTCCTTCCTTCCTTCCTTCCTTCCTTCCTTCCTTCCTTTCCTTTATTTATTTATTCATTTATACAAGAACCTGGGTACAGGCCAGATGCGTGGGAGGGTGAGAGGATTCACCAGAGACAGAGCGGGAAACAGAACAGGCAGACTGATGAAATACACTGCTGAGGGGAGCAGCGGGTAAGGCAGGAGAGGTCTGCCGTGCCATGTGGGACCCTCGCTGGCAGCTGGGATCGAACCGGCGCTGCAGAGGCTGCGGACAGCTTCACAGTGCACCACCAGGGGAGGCCCAATTAGTCACATTTCTTTCATAGCTTGTTAGACTGGCCTGAGCTTGTTCAGATGGCATCTTGTAGTCTTTCAAGAGCAGAATAGAAATGAGTAAAATTTCTTTAAACCTTAGCTTGAAACTGAGTTGCTTCTCCACATCCTATTGGCCAAAGGAAGTTTTAAAGCCAGCCCAGCTTTAAGTGATGAAGACTGGATCCCACTAATTTAAACCAGAGAAGTCACATAGCAAAAGAATGTCAATACAGGGCAAGCTGAAAATTGTGGTCAGTTTTGCAATGCGCCATATTGAAGAATTTTAAATATGGAAGTGATCTAATAAAATGTGGCTAATAGAAATGTACTTTTTTGACATGGAAAATATAGTGTGAATTTATTGATTGTTGAGATATTTAATTTTCCTTTTTTTGCCTCATCTTAAGATTCTTCCCATATTTTAAAAAATATTTTATTTGTGTGCAAAAAAGACAAGAAAAATAAATTTCCAAATCAAGCACCTGAAGTTACCCCTCCCCTCATGGGTAAATAACCAGCCAAATAGGGTTGGCCCAAAGCAAGGCCACTGAGGCCTGAAAGCCTGTCACAAGTCTAAGGCATCTCCTGGTGGGGACCCGTACAAAAGGGAAAGAAAGGGCCCACCATTGGGCCTCCCTGGTGGTGCAAGGGGTTAAGGACTGCACTATGAAGCAATCCACAGCCTCTGCAACAAGAGATCGATCCTTGGGTGGCCAGGAAGAAACCCAGATGGCGAGGCAGACCTCTCCTGTCTCGCCAGCTGCTCCCCTCAGCAGTGTATTTCAATCAGTCTGCCTGTTCTGTTCCCCACTCTATCTCTGGTGAGTCCTCTCACCCCCTGCATTTCTGGCCTGTACCCCAGCTTTTGTATGCATAAATAAATAAATCTTAAAAAAAAAAAAAAAAAAAGGGCCCACCATGTCTGGGACAGAAGGAGCAAAATAAAAATCAGAATAAAAACTGCCATTGTTAACCTCCCCATGGGTCTCTCACCCATGTCTGTTTCTATCAGTCCAATACCAAGAATAAGCAGTTTCCTCCCATGTTTCTCTGCTCCATGTGCCTCCTCCAGGTGTCCTTCTAGCTCTCCATCCTTCTTCCTTCCTTCCTCTGTCTCCTCTCCAGTTTCTCTTCTAGTTTTCCCACCTCCCTGCTCAGCTCCATCCTTTCTTGGATGGGGCAGGGAATATTTTCAGGGGGACCAGGAAATAGTAGCTGTGGTAAACACAGGAGTGCAAGTTTCCTCTCAAATTAGTATTTTTGAATTTTGGGGTGGTTGCCTAGGAGTGGAATTACTGGGTTGTTGTATAAGGAAACTGTCCTCTTCAACTACTGATCTTCAGCTATCCCAGGAGAAATTTAAGGTTTCAAACTGAGATGGATTAGAATGTCAATGTGCGGTGATGGACTATCTTTTCTGCTCAAATAATTGGCCATGGATAGATTTTATTACTGTAAAGAATTCAGGAAAGTAACTATAAAAACCAAAGGAATAATATCACTAGGAAAATGAATGTGTTATTCTCTTTTTTAGTTTTCTTTCAAAAATATTCTGATCTCAAAGGAAAAATGTCTGCAAAAGAAGTCTCTCACAAAAACTTGGAATGTACAAAAGAAAATTTGACCATGGAAGGTAAAAGTTAATGTGCTTGTGATTCATTTGTTGACTGTACTGTGCAGGAATCGTAATTCAATATTTCTAATAAAATTCATGGGGAGATTATACCATGAAGTTGAGTTTCATGATCATTTTAATCTTTAAGCGTACAAATACATAGGACTTAAATTATTATATACATAATGTTAATTTATCTTTGGAGTAAAATGGAGTCCTAAATGTGAAAAAGTTTACATGTTTTTGGAATTCTTCAATTCTTCAGCCTTCATGTCTTCTTCTTTTATTTTCTTTTTGCAGTATGCCTACCTTTATTGACATATTGTTAAGGGGAGAAACATACTTTTATAAATAATAATTATACCTACATATAATAATAACTTTAATGTGTTTAAATTGTTGGCTTAAAATATCTATTTTACATCAAAAGAATATTGAAACAGATTCATGATCCATGAAATGGATTTTTATGATTAACACCAAAATGGTGGTCATTTCGTTATGGTGGGATTGTGGTATTTATACTCATTATTAGATATGGCTTTATTTTATGTTTTAACTTGTTTTGTAATATTTATAATCATAGGAAATATAGTAAAGAGTTCAGAAAAAGAGAACTAGGAGATAATCTATTGTGTGTACTAGTTGATTGCTGTAGTTTTGTTCTGAAATTTTTCAAAATTACAGAAAATTTGAAACTGTTATATAATGAACAATATGCCCTTCCCTTAGATTTATCCTTGTTGCACGTATTATGACACTTTACCCCAAAGTACTTAAATAATTCCTAAGAACTAGGAATTTCCCTTATATTCACCTACTATTATCAACACTAGAAACCTGTCATTATTATAATACTTTTATCTGCTATACAGTCCATATTCCAATTTCCACAATAATCCTAATAAAATCCTTTGTGATTTTAATAAAATTTTAAAACTTCACTTCTTTCTGCACACTTTAGTGCACACTTGCTATTTTTCTTATATATCAGTTAAGACTCACTCTCTCAAGAGGGAGCTAATCCATTTGTGTTCTAAGAAAACATATTGTGTATGTGTAAAACATGTCTTGAAGAATACACAAAACATTCAGTTTTATCTGTGGAGACTAGGGTTGAATTTTCTGTAAGAGAGAATGCTTTAGTTTTGTTTGATGAAGAAGATGATTTTAATATAAATATGAATTAAATTTAAAATAAAAGTAGACCACTTTAAAAAAGTTTTGTTGGGGTAACATTGGTTTGCAACAGTGTATATGATTCAGAGGTATAGGATCAAACCTCTTCAGATGTCTCTCACCACGCCTACCATCGACTGAGACACCCATTGTCCTCCACCATAGTCTATTGCACTCCTTCCACACTTTGCTCTCCACCATCCCTCTCTGGTTAACTTAATTCTACAGACAAGTTTCTAAGGTTTGCTATTGGTTTGGTTTCAACTGACCCTTTTTTTTGTTTCTTCATATTCCACATATAAATGAAACCATGCAGTATTTTGGTCTTTCTCTTTCTAATTAATTTCACTTGGCATTGTTCCCTTCCATTCCATTCATGTTGTCATAAATGATAAGAGTTCACTTTTTTTAAAATTACTGAGTAGTAATCTATTATGTACATATACCAAATCTTAATCCACTCATCTGTCCTTGGGCTCTTGGGTTGTTTTCATAACTTGGCTATTGTAAATATTGTTGCAATAAAAATGGGGTGCATAAAAATAGACTCTTTATAGAGCAGTTTTATTTTTATAGCAAAATCAAGCAGATAATATAAAGAATTTCCAGGTCATTTCCCTTCTCTGTGTACACTATTTCCCCAATTATTAACATCTTACACTGGAATGGTACATTTGCTATAACTAATGAACCAAAATTGATAAATCATTAATTATTATTTTTTTTTTTCAAGAGCTCTAGTTATTTTATTTTTTTTTATTTATTTTATTTTTTTTAATAAATTTTATTGTTATATTCCCCATACAATTGCAGCCCCCCCATTCTGACCCCCATCCCTCCCCTCCCACCCCCCCCCCCCTAAAAGTGTCTCTGGTTCATAGTTTTTTGTTGATTTTGATTTTCACTTTCTTATAGTTATTTCATTTTCCTGGTCCCTTATTTAAGTTTTCTAGATTCCTGCTATGAGTGAGACCATCCGGTATTTTTCTTTTTCTTTTTGGCTTATTTCGCTGAGCATGATCCCTTCCAGCGCCATCCATGTTGCTGCAAATTGCATGTGTTTATCTTTTTTGAATGCTGAGTAATATTCCATGGTATATATATACCACATCTTCTTGATCCAGTCATCTATTTTTGGGCATTTGGGGTTGTTTCCAAAGCTTCGCTATTGTAAACAGTGCTGCTATAAACATAGGGGTGCAGGTGTTCTTTGGAATGATGTTCTGTGTCCTTTGGGTAAATACTAGGAGTGGAATTGCTGGATCATATGGAAGCTCTATGTTTTAGGGTCCAGAAATCTCCATACAGCTTTCCACAGTGGTTGGACCAGTTTGCACTCCCACCAACAGTGCAGAAGAGTTCCTTTTTCTCCACACCCTCGCCAACATTTGTTGTTGCTAGTTTTTTAATATGTGCCATTCTCACTGGTGTAAGATGGATCTCATGGTAGTTTTGATTTGCATTTCCCTGATGACAAGTGATGTTGAACATTTTTTTCATATGCCTGTTGGCCATTTGCATTTCCTCTTCAGAGATGTTTCTTTTAAGCTCTTCTGCCCATTTTTTGACTGGATTATTTTCTTTGTTGTTGTTGAGTCTCATCAGCTCTTTGCAGATTTTTGTGATCAGTCCTTTATCATTAGTGTTGCGTGCAAAAATGTTCTCCCAGTTGGTGGGGTTTCTCTTTGTTTTTGTTATTGTCTCTTTTGCTGTGCAAAAGCTCTTTAATTTGATGTAGTCCCAGCTGTTTATCTTTGCCTTCACTATCACTGCTTTGGGTGATGTGTCTGTAAAGATGTCTTTGATGTGCATATCACGTAGTGTTTCGCCTATATTTCCTTCTATATATTTTATGGTTTCAGGTCTTATGTCTAGTTCTTTAATCCATTTTGAGTTGATTTTTGTGTATTGGTGTGAGTGGTGGTCAAGCTTCATTCTTTGCATGTAGCGACCCAGTTTTCCCAGCACCATTTATTGAACAAACTTTCTTTGCTCCAATGCATATTCTTTGCTCCTTTGTCAAAGATTAGTTGACCATAAATCTGTGGGTTTATTCTGGATTTCTATTCGATTCCATTGGTCTGTATGTCTGTTCTTGTTCCAATACCATGCAGTTTTTGATGATTATGGCTTTGTAGTATAGTTTGAAGTCTGGGAGTCTGATGCCTCCATTCCCTTCTTTTTTTTTCAGGAGAGCTTTGGCTATTCGGGGTTTTTGGTGATTCCATATGAATTTCATCAATAATTGTTCTATTTCTTTGAAGAATGACATTGAAATTTGATTGGAATAGCATTGAATCTGTTATTGCTTTTGGTAGGATGGCCATTTTAATAATGTTTATTCTTCCAATCCATGAGCAGGGGATGTCTCTCCATTTCTTTGTGTCTTCTTCTATTTCTTTTAACAGTGTTTTATAGTTTTCTTTGTATAGGTCCTTTACCTCTTTGTTAGATTATTTCCCAAATATTTTGATTTTTTTTGTTTCAATAACAAAAGGGATGTCTTTTTGATTTCTTCTTCTTCAGATTTATTGTTTGTGTATAGGAAGGCTACTGACTTTTGCGTGTTGATTTTGTATCCTGCCACTTTACTGAACTGATTGATGAGTTGAATTAGCTTTTCTGTGGAGTTTTTTGGGGTTCTCTATGTAAATATATCATATCGTCTGCAAATAGTGATAGTTTGACTTCTTTCTTTTCCTATTTTGGATTCCTTGGATGTCTTTCTCTTGTCTTAATTGC